TGACAGACTACTCCTTTTCTCTTCGTTAGGTACCGGTGACGTAATTGAGCGGTGAAGGGGTACCGTAAAGGGAATCTTAATTTGATGTTTCATTTGACAGCAATGATTTATTTTAAAATCATCTTACTCGGCAGGCGAGGGGGATATAAAGTCTTGGCAGGTAATTTATCCACATAGATCACTCCAAAACCCAAACAATATTTTTATTACCCTTCCCCTGCCTAACGGATCGGGTGATATAAAATCTTGGCAGGTAATTTATACACATCCATCACTCCAAAACCAAAATAATAATTTCATTACCCTTCCCCTATATTACAACGTTCAAATGATTTGCTTCAAGAAAATACATCTTATTAAGTTCAATGGGACTTTAGTGATAAGATCTGAATACATAGACAATATCTGGGTGAAAGGATGTTGACAGAACGACGAAATGGTAACTATGCTGTAAGTTGTAAGTTGGTATGTGAATGATTTTGTGTACAAATACGATGCCACTACTTCTGTGTCAATCGGTGCTCGCCGAAGGAATACACGCCCACGTGTTTTACCACGTGGCCAGACAATCGATGTTTTACACGTAACGCACCTATTGGATGTACGAGACCACGTAAATGCTGAAGTAGATCCCGATCAACCGCGAATGTGGACGTTTGCCATTGTGTATAACTTATTTTGTTAACTGTATAAAATACTGGTGTAAATTGTTGACTGTGCCAGATCATAGATATCCTAGACAATGTTATAAAATGTTAAAGTTCCTAGATGAGAGCGGTCAAAATTGTTGGGCATCTAAAGTAAAATCACTACTTTATACTTATGGTTTTGGATATGTATGGCTTTCACAAGATATTGGAAATATAGACACATTTATTTTAATTTTTCGTCAACGACTGAAAGATTGTTTTGATGTTCCTGTCACAAATTAACGATTTAAATGGTAATACAAAGTAATGTACCACTTCATGAAAGAACATGTTTATTTTGTTTTAACCAAAATAATGTAACTGCTATTGATTGTAAATAACATGCTTTTTTCAATAATCTAAGTAAAGTGACGTCCGAAGTAATTATCTCTATAATTGGTAGTCAAATGGTACTACAATTAACGATTTTTATTCGTTAATGAATACACAAAAATGAAGGAAACATTTTTAAACTATCTCTGTTTGTATTTCACTTGCTAAAAGGTACCAGCTCTTGACTTATTGTATTCTAATTTTATATATTATACAACTTCATTATATACATGTATACACTATTATATTTATACTGATGTGTATTTTGGGCCGGAGGCCTTTATTTACTTAAATAAAGTTGAGTTTAGTTTAGTTGAGTTTAGTTTAGATATATCTATTTCTTAAAAAGGCGTTTAGCCGGTAGTTTTTTATTGATTTGAAAACTGTGTGTGTTATGGGTGAAAGTTTATAAAAGTCACGGCGGGTGGTCGGTCACAACGGTTAGTCGATCAAAAATGTTTTGCCATCAAGTGCATAAATTATGGCGTTGACGTCAATTCTACTGCTTATATTCCCACGCTTCAATAAAATCATTAAAATACTGTTTCTTCCAGTAAAAAGGCCTTAAAAAGATGTTTTTTTTTTTAATTATGTTATGTTTCTCACACAACCGGAACATCTCGGCTATTTTTCAAAAATAATTTCAGACTGAAAGTAGTCTACCACATGGTTTTAAATAACATTAAATCACTTTCGGAGATTTCTTTTATGTAAACATTGAAGGCCAGAAGCGTGAACTATTTTTCAACAATGCACTCGCCGTTCTTATTCCCTCCTTCTGTATTTTCAAACTGACACATTGACGGCGCCATTTTATTTGAAAAATCTGATAAATAGAAAACAAGTTTTTGTTGAGTTTTGCTCTGAAAACTATCTAGAATGACAGAAAATGGTCTAATTAAGAAAATAAATCCGAACAGTAATATCTTTAATTTGTTTGTTTGCTTGATTGGGTTTTACGTCACACCGACACTGTATAATTCATATAGCGATGTTCCCGCTTTACTGGTGTAGGGAGACCTTAGGTGCCCTTCCGTGCATTATTTCAGGCACGAACGGACGCCTGAGTAGAACCACCGACGTTCCGTAAGCTAGCTGAATAGCTTACTCACAGGAATAATTTCAAAGACCCTGTCGGGATTCGAACCCTCAGCGGTGAGGGGCAAGCAGATTGAAGTCAACGACCTTAACCACTCGGCCAAGGACCACAGTAGGGAACGTATTACAGTATTGCGTTTTCCGGTTACATTTTTGAATTTTAAAGGTGGAGGATTCTTTGTGTAGAGGACAGGTAGGTGGTTTTTTGTTTTGTGTCCATACTACAAGTAGTTTAGTTTCTTTAAGATGTTTTTGTGCTTTGCTTATAAGGAACATAATTCGTAATCTAGTCATTTATTTCTTCAGACCCTGCAGCCCACTTTGGCAAATTAGAAGAACATGCGGGCGATAATACGCACTTTACTACCGTTCTTGAAACTCTACGCAACAAACTTATGGCGCTGGAAGAGATCAACGAGAAGATAATGTCGCAGGTAGATGAAGTAGACATGGAGACCGAGATGTTCGAAACAGAGGACTATATGCTGGAAGTTCGGCTACGCATTGGAGATTTGGAGGCTCAACACTGCGCTGTCGTGGAGATAACCGGTTACCCACAGATTGCCCTTGAGCATGCCACACGTTTGCCATATTTACGAGGTTTGAAACAAGCCAACCCAGTACTGGAAGTTGACACATTCAATATTTCATTACTTATTGGAGCGGATAGATATTGGGAGATCATTGGAGACCGTATTATACGGGGCGACGGACCGACAGCTGTCCAGTCAAAGATTGGTTTTCTTCTGTCCGGACTACTTCCGATGGCGTCATCAAGTACAGATACGAACTACATTATGAACATTATTACATCTGCACCAGATTATGATGATCTTGAGCGATTCTGGAAAGCTTTTAAAAGTGACAGCCTACATGATGAGATTCATTCAACATTGCCGATCTGCGAGAACTTCCGATAATACGTCAACTCTGACGTTAACTGTAAAAGAACTTGCCGATGCAGAGAAGATGTGGCTTCATAATTGCCAAGCAACCACCTATAGCGCTGAGATTACATGTATCAAGACCCGAAAAAGAAACCTAACGCTTGTTAGGCAACTAAATTATACCTTGACAATAATGGCCTCATTCGCTGTGGTGGTAGGATTCATAACGCTCCTCTTGCTAAGCAAACCCGAATACCATATCTGCTTCCGGCAAACTACCAACTGACAAAACTTATAATTATAGACGCCCTACTCTCCTGCGCATCGGTCGAATGTTCCACTATCGCTCACTTCTTACCTCTGCTAAAATTGTAGGTTCAGACCGATATTTCTATTTTTAGACAGGAAAATCCATGTCTACACTTCAGCCAATCAGTGACTAGCTTACTTGTAACGATTTGTCACATACATGAATTTGACGCACCGTAATGTAAACAATGCGTGTTCATTTGTACTTTACATAAAATTGTTCGTTTTAAACGATCAAAATGGTAAATTCGCGATGATATATTATTTATGGATAGTCAATTGTAATGGAGTCTACGTAAACGGTAGTTCAATACGAATAATGGACCGCGTGCATATTCTGGCTGCAAGATCCACGTCAGGCCGTTAAAATTATTTTTCTTATATTTTCTCAGATGACCAGATGCATTTCGACAGTAACTCAACCAATCCCTCGAAAAACAGAGCCATTCTTATATACATGTATGAATAAAGCGGAAGAAGTTATCACATGCTATTGCAACATTACACCAGGTGTATACTATGCACAAAAAGAAATTTAAAATCTATTAATTTGACTGATCTTATATAAAACAGTACATACAAAGTCAGTATCATCTAGCTTTAATGATGGCCATTTAAGAATATCCAAGATCATATTTGACGTACTTTCATACCCTGTGTTTTTTCCATGGATGGGCAGGTTTTGTACAGTCTAATATATACATGTATGTGCAAAATGACATATACATGTATATAGGCTACTACATACAGATTTGTGCAAACTCAACCAACACTATTTTAAACATCAATAGTAAAACTGCATTGGTTACTCATTTGAAATTCAGCTATTCTACTTAATAATATTGTAGTCAATCAGGAGACTACCACAGCAACCACAAGCTTGTCCATTAATATCAACAAGGGCTGTCAATAGAACAGTTGTTCTATTTAACTATTCTCAGAACTTGATTGAAAATGTTTGAATTAACTAAGGAATATTTCATTTATATACATATGATCAAGTCTTGCAATTTTATTTATGTTCGCATGAGGCCATATTTCATTTAAAATTCACAAGTTATGAGCCTTTGACAGTGACCTCCAAGGTATACTATTATTAAGTTTCGGGGCGTCTGTGGCCGAGTGGTTAAGGTCGTTGACTTCAACCCACTTTCCCCTCACCGCTGTGGGTTCGAATCCCGACAGGGACTTTGGATTATTTCATATGAGGAAGCTATCCAGCTAGCTTACGGAACGTCGGTGGTTCTACTCAGGTGCCCGTTCGTGCCTGAAATAATGCACGGAAGGGCACCTGAGGTCTTCCTCCACCAGTAAAGCCGGAACGTTGCGATATGACCTATACTGTGTCGATGTGACGTAAAACCCAAAACAAACATACAAATTAAGTTTCAAGATTAATTTTGCAGGCAGAACTTTAACCTGTATTAAATCAGAAGTTTAAAGGGTCATACTTCTGTCAAAATCCATGCTAGAGTTACTGGCCTTGGAAAGTGACCATTTTTACGATCCCAAAAAGTGTGCAAAGTCTTTTACACATGAAATAATGTGGATTTCAAACCAAGGTGAAGTGCAAGCCATTAGTTGCACGAAAAACTTTAAGATGTTACACTGATGAAGAATTCCAGGTGTAAAGGATAGCCCCATTTTTCTTCAAATAGTTAAGCTAAAAATAATAACTGCACTGTAGATCATCAATGAATTTATTTCATACCTCTAAGTCTTGATTTTCAAAACAATGTGTAATATGAAATTACAAATGCAATATTTTATTGATTTAACATACATGTATAACCACAGTCCTAAATATAATGTATCAAGGTTTGATCACATAAACATAACAAAAAAAAGAGTACATAAGTTGGCTGTAAGGTCACTCAGAATCACAGGGATAAATTGACAAATATTTCTCTTCCTATGAAGTTAACATCCTAAGTCAATAGTAACAATAGAATAACAGCAAGATCAAACTTGACCAACACTAAATATATATAGGTTGGTATAAGCTAGTTATTGAGTAGGCAATGCATATTTAATTTCAGGTTTTAAAGTACAATTTGTGTCTTCAGCACTGGTTTAATACTTAACTTTCTGAGTCAGATACCCAGTCATATTGTTACTATGTTCAGTGAAATCATGATACCCATTCACATTGTTACATTGTACAGTGTTTACTAAATATGCATTAAATCAAAGCAAGAGCCTACAGATTATTATCTTATTTTTGGTAAATCAATGGTAATAATTTAACAAATTTCTTTCAAATTTGTTTTTATTTTAACCACAATAGTCATGTGACCAGCATTACTTCAAATATAATCAGAAATAACTTACATGTAGACACTAAAGGTAGATCAGTTTTCATCTACTTGTACCAAGTAAACTATTTTAGGATTTCTAAGCTTTATCAGCAAGTATGTAAGCTAACTAATTAATAATTTCTCAAATAATGACATAGAAAATCATTCACAAGAAAAAAACAAGAGGGCCATAATGGCCCTGAAGACGCTCACCTGTATATAGGCCCCCGGGGTGAGGCCAATTTTAACCCAGGGGCTTTTATTTGATCAAACTTGGTAGACACCCATTTGAAGATGTTTCAAGATAAATATCTAAGCTCGAGCTCTTAATTTTTTTTAAGTTTTTACTATACACATTAAGGGAAAAACAATGACCCCCTTCTGGGCAGGGCCAATTTTGTCCCCGAGCTTTTATTTGAACAAAATTTATTTGGTTAACACTCACTAGAAGATATTTCATGCTTAGTATCTAAACTCTAGCTAAAAGAAGATTTTTAAGTTTTTACTTTACACATATACCCTAGGGCGGGGCCAATTTTGAACCAAGGGCTTTTATTTGAACAAATTTTGTAGACACCCATATCTAAGCTCTAGCTATTTGGGTTTTTTAATAGAAGATTTTTAAAGTTTCTACCATATACAAATAAGGAAAATAAATGCCAATTTTACGCTTACACTGCTGAAACCAAGTGATTAGCCTTTGCCAGCAGTATACAGCCAGGCTATTGAGACTGAACAGGCTCCACACTGTTGTCTCACTAACTTTAACTTTTCATCCTGATGTATAATGTACCCAAAATGATAATAAACACTTTAAAATATGAAAGCCAGACATGTCCATTAAGAAACTCTACAGGCTAAGGGTTGATATAATTTTGCATCAATGCTTTCATTTTGCAAAATTCAAAAACAAATAGGTAACATCTAAAAGCATTTAAAGAAAGGCTGCAAGTCTTATTATGTTGTCATGAATGACAAATATCCCATAAATAATTTCATGTTAAAGCAAAACTGTTAGTTCAGACATTACAAGTTGAATTAAAAAATCTAACTTAGGATCAGGAACCATATTCCTAAACAAAAATAATTATGCAGGATTTATGCAGCTTGTTCTATATGATATGATGCTTAATGTGAAACAAATGCCCCCAGTTCAAATGCAATCATTTACAATGTAATTATAACATTTCCTGCAGATCTACATTTATTCAAGACTGTGAAAAAATTAGACATAACTCATTGTTAATTAATTAAAGGTGCTATCTCATTTAGGGTAAGCAACAGTAATAACATAGATGCTGTAAATACCCCAAATATTCAAATTTATAAAGGGGATATCATTCACAAAATACTGGTGCCTGATGTGGGCAGAAAATAAAGTCAACAAAATTCAACTTGTTACATCCTTAATGCATTACACAATATCTCACACAGTAAATTTTCATGTTTCAGAAACAGCTAATTTTAAAATTTATCAAAAATTACAAAATTGTAAAAGAAAAGATCTAAATTTCATGGAAAATGATGCCAGAATTTTAAACCTAAGTACAGCCATTTGATGTGAGTGTTGATAGGAAACTAAAGATTCTGATTTAATATATAATTTAAATTGCACATGCACATGTATTTCATATGACCAGTAAAATTTCCATCATTACATCTTTTTGATAAAGGTCACAACTTGCAGCACCAATACATATGTAGTTTTCATGAATTTGTCACCATAAGGCTGTCGCCTTTCACAAAACTTAACATTTTGGGCAAAACCTGGGCAAAACCTTGACCTGAAATTACACATACTATAAAGTAATTAAAGCATTCCATGAGAAAGTGTTCCAACACAACTTAAACTTAATCTCTATGTTGAATGCAGGTATCTGATCATATACTGATGATGGTCCATACTGTACAAGTATTGAAGTCTAACCATATTTCAACATTTTTGCAGTGGTGAAGACTTTAAGACTGCTATTTGGCTCTGATTGATGATTTGATTTGATCTTTGCTGTAGTAATATGTCACATAATTCTCCATCCCAAATTTTATTTTAAAATAAATAAACAAGGTCAAAAATCCTTATTTTATCTTCTGTAAATGCATGTAAATCACATTATAAGTCTTTGTTCATAACATTTACTTCCCACTTACAAGAGGCTTTCAGATCCACAGATACTTTGATCACTGATTTCTTCTATGTTTTATGCCTTGGAGTTCAACTGTACTATTTCTAATGGTTATTTTATACATGTACTTAGTACACAATGTTTACAGTATTTGGCACAATCTGTTGGACTAGCTCTTGCTGTAAGTGCTAGCAAAGCTCTTCAACCCCTGTGAACACTGGATGAAACACATCTTTCTTTTTCTTGTCATATACCCTAAAAAACAGAAATTATGACATTTATTCAATTATAATGTATATAAGAATTGAACAGTATGAAAACATCATTTATACAGTAACAATCCTGTTCTTTAAAGAAAATAACCAACTGTTCCTCCTCTACAACCCAAAAGCCTTAAACATCTTCCAAACATCACAAGTATTGACAAAAATAAATTTTATGAAAAAAAAAATTATGGCTCTAAAAATGAGCCGCGTCACAACAAAACATAATGGGTTTGCGACCAGCATGGATCCAGACCAGCATGCGCATCCGTACAAACTCTATAGCAAACAGCATGGATCCTAATCAGACTGCACGGATGCGCAGGCTGGTCTGGATCCATGCTGGTCGCAAACCCATTATGTTGGTTTTGTCGTGACGCAGCTCAAATTATAATTTTTATAAAATTATAATAATACCACTGTATGAAATGATGGCTACTTAATTTTCTATATTCCAGTTTGAAATGAAAATCTTCAAATTTATGACAAATTCATTGTATAATATTTAGAAAGAAGTTTTCCAATATTACATTATGACAATTTATATATTCACATGTACATCACAAAATTATTTCATGCTGATCAGTGATTTTCCCCAATATTTAAATAAAGGTTATTTCCCCAAGTCCAAAATAGGTATATTTTGATATATTTTCCCCTAAAAATGCTATTTCCCCAGAAATGCACTGTGCACAGCCTTCTCCATAAGCATGTCTTAACAGCAGCTGACTTATATCAGGTACATGATACATGTACATCTTACTCACTGAAAGCTGTCCCTATATATAAGATAGTCTCGGCTATGTACCATGCATGTTAAATTGAAATGAAAATTTTATAAAATGTGTGTGTAAATTTATTATTTTGTTCTCAGATGTAAGAATTTGATTTCAGGATTTCACCCTTTATCCTGCTATATTTTTCACTTCAGGAAGCCACAGTGTTTAAACAAAAATCACTCTATACAAACATGTACATGTACTGTATTAATATTAACTTACAGTCAAACCTGTCTGTAGTGGCCAGTAAGGGAATTAAACTAAAAAAAATTAAGGACAGGTGACCACAACATCCAGGTTGACGTCACATGAATAAGTGTAATATGTATATTTATGTATAAAAAATGTATTAAGTACAATAAACTTTAAAAGCTTGCTTTAATATGATTTTTTTTGGCAAAATGATCAGCAGCTTGTACTCATTCATTATATTTTATATATCACATATATTTATTTATTCATATTAAGATTATATTTAGTTTTAAAGCAAGTAAATAAATGTCAAAGTCAGAAATGTTCAATTTTCAGGTGAGAAAATGTGTGAGCAGATGTATAGGGCTATTGGTAGGGCAATGGAAACATGTTTCAAAGGTCCCTGGTTTGAGTCCCGATCAGGTTGCAATTTTTTCTCAACCTGTGACATTTGGTGCAGTCCAAAATTTAATTCACATTGCTCTGTTACATGAGAAAAACTTCAAGAGCTGAGAATCATGTATATCATGTTTCAGAACTGTTCCCAGTTGCACTGAGAAAATGTGAAAGCAGCAGGATATTTCAGTTGGTAGAGGGTCCAGGGTCAGACTGCATTTTTCTCACCCTATGACATGTACAGATGATGTAGCACTTCTCCACTAGTAACAATTAACACTAACAGATATTGTAAGACATGGACACCTTTTTTGGGTGAATTTTCCTAATTTCTATACATTTAATTATTAAGTCAAAATCATCAATGTTTTTTAATGTGTCGATACAGTATCCATAATTGATAGACAGAAATTTTGAGGAAAATATCAATGAAACATCATTATTGTTTCTATCAATGAAATAAAATGTTGAGAAAAAAATTATACAAATAATCATGATAATACTGGGCTGAGTTGACACCTGCTTAGTTGATGCAAAGCTTATTTAACAATATAAAGCTTTTAACAAATAGAAAATAAGATAGAAAGTGGCTAGCCGTACGGCTAGACAAAAGTTCTTGCCGTATGTGGGTCATCATACATGTGAACTCTCCCACTTTTAACGGGAGACTCCCACTTTCTGCAGCCATATTTTTAAAGATTTTTCTTAAAATAAGGGGTATTTTCACAAATTAAAGAAATCTCCCAATATTTGATGTCAGAACTTCCTTCTTTGTTTCTTAAAAATTCTAAAATCTCCCTCTTTTTGAAGAAAAATCTCCCACTTGATCATCAAAAAAGTTCACAATTACGGGTCATATATGACACACTGTATTGTCTAGCCGTACGACTAGCCTTGCCACTTCCAAAAAGAAATCTTAGCTTCACACCCATTGTACATATAATAAATTAAAATTTGACATCAAATTATGGTATACTGTACTGGTTGGAGAGATAACTCCGACACTAAATCACATATTTTTTGCAATATTTTAATTATCTTCCAGTATATTTTAAATATTGAACCACCTAAACAAAGTTCAGTTCAAAGACTTTACATTACACCACAAAAACTATGTATGAAAATGGAATCTGGTACTTCTTTAAGGTCTTGAATGAGGTATACAAAACATGGTCTTTTTACCCCACAACAGTAGATAAAGTCGACACTTAAATTTTTAAGTAAAAAATGACTGGAAAATCAGCATCAATAATTTATTTTTACATCTTATATGGTTTATCTATTTTTTGTAAATATTTAAACAATTTTTCAAAAATCTTTCCCAAGTCAGTGGCCTGTGGTCAATACATTCAGGGTTCTCGGGGACGCTTATTTCGGCGTCCCGGTACGCATGTTTATTACAGCTGGACGCAAATATTTCAGAGCAAGGATTCCACGTACGCTTAATTTTGCCTGGGGACGCATAAACATTACCGATTGTTTACAACCAGAAACAATACACAAATGCGTCAGCGCGTGTCAGTCTATAGGTAGGCGGTCCTATGCACATCGACCCGTGAAGCGATTAGCCAATCAGCGATAACAATTACGATCTTTATCACGCAATAGTGATCAGACTAATGTATACACGCGCTGTACAGTACATGTAATTACCAGATATAACACGAGGTGATAATTTTATATCTTTGATCAACATGCAGTTGATTGGAAATTAGCAAATTTTACCGACAAAAGGATAAAATTATCGACTAATTACGCCGCAAGTTTAAAGACTGTTTCTCAAATGACAAATGAGTGTAATTTTGAATGATTGTCGAATATTTTCGGCATTTTCTATGCACAATTTTGCTTTAGTTTCATTCTTGCAAAAACTTTCGATAAGGCTATTTAGAATTTAAGATATTGTGCCGAAATGCCAGGACAACAAACCAAAATACACATTACGCTTTTCTTTGATATTTAGATTCTATCCGAAAATTGATCCCGTACATCGGCGATTTCATCGCAAAAATTCTCGGTTTCCAAGCCAAACATGCGAACGAATTGTTCCTTTATTATTTAATCAACATTAAATCTTTAAATATCGATCTTCAATTTGCCCCCTTTTGAAGATATTTGCTAAAATGACATTTCTAACTACCTTACTGTAATTTAGTAAAAAGAACGTTTTGAAGCAGTTTTTGCCTACAAAAAGTTTAGGTTATTTGAAAAACATAAAAAATTCTACCAAATTATAACAAATCATCACATTCTGTCCTGTTCCTATAATATTAGGTGATCATGTGCTTGTTTGTTGAAAAACAAAGCTAAAACAATTATATTTATCAAGTGTCAGGGTTATCTATGCGTCGGAGTTATGACCAGTATAGAATTTAATGAAAAGCATGTTTCTTACTAGTTAAAACTGAAAAGAACAATGAAAAACATACCATGACAGTGTGTACTTCGTCGAACAGAATACAGATATTTTCCTCTACGAATATCCCCATTTTTGCTGATCTATGTAAGTGGAAGAAATCTGTCTAATTCCCAAACTTGTTTCTCCATCAGCAAAATACCAAAACAATCACCAAGTTCACTAAACCCTTGAAAACACAGAGACTTTCCCGATCATGTCTTTGCACTCACAAAAGTGTCATTGTTCTGCTCAATGATAGATTGTACCATTGCCTTTTGAAACGGTTTAATGGATCAATAATTGAAACGTTTTGCAAGCTTATCGAAAGTTGAATTATTAACAGTCGCCATTTTGTTTACAAAATTTTGAGGAATTACCCGTCTATTTATAATTTTGTACATACGTCATCTGTTTCAACCAATGAAAATGCGTATAAAGATTTTCGGGCGATTTGGATTTTGGAAAACTTTCATTGGTCGTTCAAAGTTCACTGTAAAGGTCAATATCATGAATCGACGCGTTTTTTATGTATTGTCCAGGTCAAGCAAATATAACTGGCAAGACGAACTTGTTTGGTATGAGATAAAACACAACACTTAGGTTGAATGAAATAGGGCATTTATTAAATGCCATAAATGACAAATGTTACATAATAACAAACATGACAAATGTTACATAATAACAAACATGGCATGTATATATTTGTATCGAAATAACCAAACTGGGAGGTAAAAACCGCCAAATAGGGCATTTATTAAATGCCATAAATGACAAATGTTACATAATAACAAACATGACAAATGTTACATAATAACAAACATGGCATGTATATATTTGTATCGAAATAACCAAACTGGGAGGTAAAAACCGCCAGATTATGATAACATTGTAATGTAATTCAAATAGATTACAATCTTAACAAAAATTATGTAAGATGACAAAGTTGAACCAAAAACCATCTATATAAATATAATAAAATTGATTGCTGATCAAAAACAATTGACCAGAAAAAATAAATATTTTCCAAATCGTGGTCGACTCGCCCAGGAAAAACCATAGTTTGGAAACCTGTGCCCTTTTATCTTGTGTCTAGTACCACTTGATGTAGGGCTCCATCCTTGGAAAATATTTTAAACATTCTATACATTAATAAGTGTATTACACATGACTAGATCATAAGTATTTATGACAACAAATAGAAAAATATTTGAAAGAGATAATATAACATCGACTAGTTTTATAAATCTTTGCATGAACAATATACATAATATTATATACATATATATAGTGTATATCATGAATAGTTGCACAAAAAATTGAGATAAACAATAAGTGAAACAACTGATTCATTAAGAATAAATGAAATGGTATTTATATCAACATCAAAAATTGAAAGGGGAGGATGGAGTTGGAGGAGGTGGATTTTAGTAAACAGAAAGGCGAGAATCATTCCTCGCCAAAATTATTTCTTTGTGATAGATCTAATGTAATCATTGGTTAATTAACATCACATGATTTAAGTCTTGATACCGATTGGCTAAGACGTACTTGGCTAAAACCTGACCCGTAATGGCTAAAACCTGACCCGTAATATTCTGTACAGTAAAGAGAATAGGGACAGAACAATGACATAAATTATTTTATGTGGGCACAAAATCTATTTTATGTATTGTCCAGGTCAAGCAAATATAACTGGCAAGACGAACTTGTTTGGTATGAGATAAAACACAACACTTAGGTTGAATGAAATAGGGCATTTATTAAATGCCATAAATGACAAATGTTACATAATAACAAACATGACAAATGTTACATAATAACAAACATGGCATGTATATATTTGTATCGAAATAACCAAACTGGGAGGTAAAAACCGCCACAAAGGGAACCTTCCGCCACCCAGAGAGACTTGACTAGGGATGAGCTTGAGCTGTAATAAGGATTGAAACAGAGGGGCTAAATTTGCCGAAGTTACCATTAATTTAATCAAGTCATGTTAGGACAAAATGTTACGACAAATCATATATCTAATGACAATATTATAATATGTGTAGAATTAATGTCTAACATTTAAATGGATCCTGACTGGTTCTTTAAATATATGTGGACTGCAGCCTTAAACTGTCAGGCACATTACAGGATATGCTATTGTAAACCAGCAACTGAGTTAATAGACCAAATAATTAGCTGTGAAAATACTTATAACAATTACATTATATATGTATTATTGAGACATCCGACAGTATGCATTATCCGGACTGTTTCAACGTCTAAACTGATTGTAACAAATAGAGGTAGCATGAATCAAATTTATAGAAGTTTCAAATTATGTGTAATGGAAAAAATTTACAAGATAATATTATACTAGTCATCAATGACAATGAAACTAGAAAAAATTCTTTTTAAATTAGAAATTAGGAATGGACTATTATTGTATCAGCAACCAGATATCCTTCAATGGTTAACAGCCAAAATTGCATGGCCATGGCTTCCAAGTTACAGTCATCAAACTTAGCACAGGCCCCTAGCCTGTGAAACTTAGTTCATGAAGTGAAAAATATACAAAAATTTAGTTAAATATATAGTAGTATGAATTCAAAACTGGAATTTGGGCTAGTAGATTGGAAATTAAAATCTTTAATGCATAGACTGGAGTATGTCAACAGTGCGTGGCACCTTAGACATTAAAACATACACATCTCCTATGTAAGGTATGTGACATGTTGAATTTCAGTTAGTATCTTCAATTTGCGTAAGTCCTAGCGGATATGCCAATTCTTTCGAATCATTTATTCCTTAAACCTTTAAAATGTATTAGACCAAAATAGATGTAAATGTCAATTTGTTCGCTATACGTTTTTCCAATTATCAGTTAAGACCTAATGTAGAATTGAAATCAAAATTGTAAAATATCTAATTAAACCTTATTTATGCATTTGATCTAAATACATGTGAGTCTGGCGTGTCTATATGTTAATTTGTTCATTATATGATTGTTGCATGAAAAATATAAATTAATGTATTAATTAAGGATAAATAGAAAAAGTTTCTATACAAGACTAGACTCTTCCAAAAAATTATAAAGTAACAAGACCTTTGAACAAGATGTGAATGTAAACATTTCTACAATAATACATAAAAACCTTCAGTACAAATGTACTTATAACATTTACATAAATCCATTCAACTAGTGACAGTAGCATGAACTCAATCTGAAATTATATGTATGATTAATTATGAAACCTGCAGCCTTGTACTGTCAGATTTATAAAACCTTAATGAAGCCAAATTGTGCATATCTGCCACAAGGTATACATGAATAGGAATACCGTCATACACATTATTATGGCACGAAAGAAATAAACTTCGGCCTTGCACCGTCAGCAAGGAGAAAACTGCAGCCTTGAACTGTCAGTTATTTGAAAGATTGTAATGACACTCAGTTTGCAGTAATTCACTGTAAAAGTGGAAAACTGTAACCTACAGTATGTCCAACGTACTGCAGCCTTGAACTGTCAGTAATTTGAAAGATTGTAATGGCATTCAGTTTGCTGTAATTCACTGCTTTTTCTATATATAAAGATCTGCTGCCTTATACCGACATATCTTAAATTACGAAAAATTTAAGTGTAAAACTGTAACCTAGATTAATTAAAAACTTATGTATTTAAGACATGATGTGGAAATCTCCCGCGGCCTTTTATAAAGGCTGTCGTTCCTGACTAGATATTGGACATTTTTCTTGCGCGGGCTAGTAGGGTTCCCATACATGATTAATTTGAAAAAGAACTTCTGGCATGATGTGACAATGTATCTATGTACAATTAAAATCCAATTTCATATCAAATTAAAGCATCAGCCGTGCAGAATGGATAAAATAAACTAAGCCAAGCTGACAAGACAGTACATAATTTGAGACTTGAAAACAAATTGCAAAGCATTTAAACTAAGCAATGCTCACTATTAAAATTTATGAATGAAGGCAAATCGCGTCAACTAAGCAATGCCTAATACAGCAATGGTATGCTGAAATAATATCAAGGCGTGTAAACTAAGCCAAGCTGACCAGTACAGACAAACAAATGGCAAAGCGTGTCAACTAAGCAATGCCTAATACAGCAATGGTATGCTGAAATAATAGCAAGGCGTGTAAACTAAGCCAAGCCGACCAGTACAGACAAACAAATGGCAAAGCGTGTCAACTAAGCAATGCCTAATACAGCAATGGTATGCTGAAATAATAGCAAGGCGTGTAAACTAAGCCAAGCTGACCAGTACAGACAAACAAATGGCAAAGCGTGTCAACTAAGCAATGCCTAATACAGCAATGATATGCTGAAATAATAGCAAGGCGTGTAAACTAAGCCAAGCTGACAAGTACAGACAAACAAATGGCAAAGCGTGTAAACTAAGCAATGCCTAGTACAATAATGGTATGTTGAAAGAATAGCAAGGCGTGTAACTAAACCAAGTTGACAAGACAAGTACAGAATCTACTTGAAGGGTGTACTGTGTAGGTTTTTGAGAAGAAGCTATGACGGTTGCCATGAATATAAATTTGTTTTTTTTTCCTCTTGCATAATGAATATTTACCTTGGTTTATAAAAGGTGTAATTATTAGCTTAGCAAGCATAATGAATATTTAACTTGGTTTATAAAAGGTGTAATTATTAGCTTAGCAATCTGAATACCATTACTTCTTATGTTATTTCAACTGTCTTGGGCAATAAATATGAATTTCCTTGAAGCTGTGTAAAACATGTATGCCAACATCAGTTTATTCATTATCTGACTCAACCTTGAAACCTATGAAACATGTAATGAAAGGCTGCTAATGTACTGATGAAAGCATTGTCTTAGGTCCCAGGTCCGCTTGCACTATTAATTCAACGATAATGATTGCTCCCTTGACTAGTCTTGGTTTTTGCAGGATTTACTGGACATTCTTGGTGTTTGGCTTTTCCTTGTTGAGGACCTGAATAACAGGTGTAAGGTAAATTTGTGGCCGTTTCATCTGAAAAATATGAATTATTTTGTCATTAAGGTAGACTAAATGTATGAAATGTAATTGATTAATAAAATAATTCTGACTACATTGTGCGTGATTCATAAGCATAATCATGCAAACATGGACTATCGACTAAACCATGTATAATAGAACCTGTAAACTAACTCACACGGAATGTAAACTCAACTATGTGTGAAAAAATAAGCGAGAACTGAAAACTATATCAAGCAGACATGATCATAGACTAAACCATGTATAATAGGATAATTATGTGTGAACTATAAACTAAATCACACTCGCACTGACTGTAAACTAAACCATGTGT